AGAATACAGAAATCTACCGGCCAAGATTAAATGGCAATTAACGTATAATGGAATTGTCAACCATTGTTTTAATGCAAAGTTGAAAATCAAAAAGTTGACGTAATTGATGCATTTCAAAGCTTGGACTTGAAGCTGCCAAGTTTGATTGAAATGTTCCAATTATTGAATAATTTTATAACATTGTGTTAGCAATTATTGACATGTTCCAATTATAAGCTTTCCAATAAGTTCTCAACAAATTGAAGAATATCATCTCTATATCAATATTTATCTCTAGAATTAAGTACACCAAATAAAGTATATTCTCTAGAATGACAATTTTTTTTCCATTACATAACCTCATCTCAGGACAGAGTAGAGACACTTATAGACCAAATCAAAGGAGTGTACAGAAATTCAACAGAATCTGTGAAATGCATTTATTTGTAGCGAGTAATAATAAAGTGAGATTACTCACATTAATTTCAGGCACTTCAAGAATCAGACTTTCTAAATTCATTGTCGGGGAAGGATACAATGGTCAGACATCTTTCTATTATCAAGTTTTGAAGTGAATGCAAAAAACCCTCAGCCATCTACAATAAAATTATTTTCTTCTCTTCAAATTCGTAATCTTTTGGAAATAATGGACAATATGCAAAACACTGTTTTAAATATGAAGGGAGGTATCAAGGTAATAGTACCTTACTTTAAGAGCAGACATAACTTCACATTCCTCTTTTGATAAATTCCATATCTTACTATTTAGCGCGTCCCTCCAGTCATTGATGTCATATTTGCCGCCCCACAGGCCACCAAGAACTTTAGCCACCAGAGGCAATCCGTCACACCTTTTAACTATCTTCTCACCAATTTCTTTTAATTCTTGATCATGCACGCCAATATCATTTGTTCCCAAAGAGTGATGAGCAAATATATACAAAAAATGATAGTTTGACAACTTTTGCAAAAGATACTCCACACCAGTCTTCACCATTAATGAAACACTTTGATTGCCAGTTGTGACAGCAATTTTTACTTCCTGGCAGGCCAGCTTCAAATGGACAGCGTAAAAGGGTTCATTGATTATAATTTTGCATCCAATATCATCCAAAACAAGCAAGAACTACTTTTTGAGAGTTCTTCCTTCAATTCAACTTGAAGTTTGTTCAGGTCATTAATATCACCACTCCCAATAGCAATTAACTGTAGACCGTTTTTGTGATTCTCGAAACATCAAAATCGTTGGAAACACATACCCATGCTTTAACAGCAAAATGATTTTCAACTCTATTATCATTATAGACAAGTTGAGCGGGTGTCACCTTGCCTACACCTCCCATCCCAACCATAGGGATTACCAAGATTCCATCATTAGCACTGGAATCATGACTCAGTAACAATTCAACAAGTGTCTCCTTATCCTTTTCCCTATCATACACTTTGGCTTCACTAACCAAAGAGGTTTCCTGAAGTCTTTGTCTGACTATTTTGGACTTGTCTTTTTCAGTATCTTTTATGTCTTCAGGATTTCTTTATTCAATGAGTTTGCTGTATCAGGTTGCACGATCGAGCTCTATGCCCCCAAATACAAGAGATGCTTTATACCAGAGTTTACCACCAAGCATAAAATCAGCTCTACGCTACAAAGTACAATCTTTATCAGTCAAAGACGAGGTATGATATGTTTTGATAATGTAACCTTTTTCTTTTCAAAGGATGCATATTTTTCACTGCATAAAATAAAGATAAAGAGGATTTAAGAAGAGCTTTTTTTTGCTTGTTTTCTTCAGCTGCCAAATAATTATTTGAAGAGAATTTCTTTGTCATCCTTGCATTTAGTAATGATTCTGGCTTTCTTCTTTTCCTGCAGCTCACTGTTACAGAAATCAAAGATGAGATGGAGAAGACTTTGCAGTGGCTTGTTCCAATTGCCACTAACACAGCCAAGTAAGATGGCCAACTTTTCTGTAACTAGCTAATCCATTTTCCCATGAGTTGTATTCATATTCTTTGTTCAATTGATTGTGTCTTCATCTTATCATCATTTTGACTTTTTTGGTTGCAAATAATTAATCCAGAGCCCATCATGGATTCGGCTGGGTTGGCGAATGGGCTAATACAGGGTGAGTCACAGTTTTCATCTTCATCCTTTTCCAAATGGGTTTGAGTAAAACATAAAAACTGAAAAATGAATGTGTATTATTGATGTACAAGGTCTGATGGCAACCGGAAGTCTGCTGCTGGGACTACTGATGTGATTCGCATTGAGACACTCCACCATGCTGACAAGGGGAAAACAGAAGCCTATATTCTTGATTTAGTATTGTGGCTTCACCATCTAGTCAACAGGGTTAAGATTGGGGCCACCGTTGGTGGCATAAAGTCACCCATCAAGTATCCAGTTGCGACACCCCTGCAAAATGCAAATAAGCAGACCAAAGATGAGACCGCCAGTTCCCCGTTACTAACCCCGGAAGACCAGGAGATCTTAGAGAATGTAAGTAAAAGAAGAAGAATCCGAGGAACAAGTAAAAGCCACGACTTTGACCGGATAAAGTTGAAAAAATATGATAGGCTGAGCAAGAGCAGTGGCCACTCCTTGCAAAGCGGAAATAAGGAATTAGTCGCCATAAAGAGGCATCCTTCTCATCTTCCCATAATTTCATTTGGTATAGAGAAGGAAAAGGTACTGGATGTCATTGACAGAGTTGATGAGCTTAGATAATCTAAAGAATTGAAATATACAGAGACAAGACAAAAAGTGCCAGAGTAATATGACAACATTATGGGAAAAGAAAAAGTATTAAGGAATGTTAGTAACACTATTTGTTATTCTATTTTTAACACGTGTATAAAAGATAAATAATAATAAGTTGGTAATATATTATTCTTTTGTATTTGTGTCATAAGTGTTTCTTTGGGGCACTGGCAGTCGATGGAAATGGGGTGTATGTGTAAGTTTTTAAGATAATTTCTTGTAAGTTTATCTTTGTGTAATTTGTTTTGACGTGGTTATTTGATTATATTCAACAATTCTTTTTGTTGTCTTTTATATAATTTAATTTAAACGTTAATAACAAGAATATATATTCTGGTCTAGGATAGTAATCATGCATGAAAGAAATAAAAAGAAGTAGAACATCCAACAAATACAAGTACATCTCGAGAATGGGATCTGAACATTGTAATACTCGAAATTTGCGAATCTTTGAAATTTGTTTTAGGCCAAATCACATACAGCCACCCAAGGTTTGGCGAGGGTACAGTGGTATCATCGGTTTTAAAAACCATCAACATTCCACCTCTGTTCTGTTACTGCTATGACCGTTTGAATAACTTTACGAGTAAAAATCAATTAGCACCTTACAGTTTAGGAAATACAATTTTTGACACCTATTGCAATTTTAACGAAGTTATCCCCAATCGTTTCAGAGACTTATCAATTACCCATCTAAGAGCATCTTCAAAAGACTTTTTATATGATCCAAACTTTTTATTATAAAGAGTTTATCCATAAAAATAAGAGTCAAACAAATTTTTTATTCTTCAAATATAAATTAAAGAGTGAATTTGACTTTTCACATTTAGAGAGTCAAATTTTACTCTCTATCTTAATTTTAAATAATAAATTACAAGTTTCTATGCATTTTATTTATGATTTATCTCTTCTATTAAGTTTTTTTCTTGAAAAAACATATTTTCTCTTCTAAAATTTAAAGACTCTATTGGATTTGAAAAAAAAAAATTATTCTTTATAATTAAAAATTAATAAAAATATTTTTTATTTATATAAAAGATGCTCATTAATTAAATCATCAAAGTTTAGAGATGCACTCTATTAAATACACGACGCTACAATGGTAATTTTTCCGGCCTTCTATCCCTTCCCTTCTTCCCTTTTTCTCTTTTATCCCCCTCTTTTTTATTTCTTTTATCCTTTCTTTCCCTTATTTTTCTACTTTCTTTCTCCCTCTCGTGGGAACTGTTATTGTCCCTCAATCTTTAAATGACAACGTCGAATCTATCCACCAGGCTTTTTGCTCTGAAATTCTGAAACCCCAAACAAAAACTCCCTCTTCTTGTGTCCATTCATGGCGTCTCCTTTTACTTTCTACATTCTTCGCCACCTATCATAATTATGTAAATTCATGAAGCTAACATCATTACAGTCTTAGTTGATTACTGAAGAGGCCCAAGGCATCTTGTCTGTTTTTGTTTTGATGATTCATGGACTGCCCTTAAATGGGTTGTTTCTCATGTTAATGGAACTAGTCTGGAAGATTGGCTAAACGATTTAGCTGATTTTGAAAAAGTCTATTTTGCTAGTGACAGTTCTGGTGCTAGTATAGCACACTTCGTGGGCTTGAGATATGGCCAGCAAAAACCAGAGGGATTTGAGGTTGGAGGCATTATTCTGATTCATCTATATTTCTTGGGTAATGAACTGATCAGTGTAGAGGTTAATCATTTAGAGAGAAGAGAATTTGTAGAAAAATTTTGGCGTTTCGTATATCCTGTAACAAATGGGTGCGACTGTTTGTTGTTTAATATGCTGGCTAATGTAAAATTGGCGAGGTTGGAGAGTTGTTGATGTAGAGTGATGGACCTGATGGTGGAGGAGAAATAGAAAAATAAGGGGGAAAACAAAAAAAAAAAAAAAACAGAGAAGAAAGGAGGGGGAGAAAGGTAAAGTAAGAAAAAGACGAAAAAACAAGGCAGGAGAAATTACCACTGTACCCTCTTTTATTTTTTAATAAAGGTTATACGGTATTAGGATTTTAGGGGCTAATTGAATAGTTTATGAAGCGATTGGGGGTACCTTGATTAATATTGTAATAATTGCCCGAAAATATATTTTCCAAAGTATACAGGGCTAATTGATTTTTACTCTACCCTTCTTTACACGTAAGAATCTTTATTATAATCTTAGTTAGTGAATACAGTACAGCCCAAAACGGATATAGAAAAAATATGGTATAAATATATATAGATTTAATATAGTATATTATTAATAATAAGTTTTAAAAAATACGATAATATTAATATTGATTTTAACACTTTTTATAATCATTAAATTAATCCTCTTTTGTTTTTTATATGATTTATGTCATTTTTAATTATAATATTTTAATTTGTAAAAAATTATATCATTTGATTGGTAATTAATTACTATAAATGTTGTAAAAGTGAACCAATTACAAACAATTTTATTTGTCATTTGTCAATCATTAATACAAACAAATAATGAGGATTGATCTTATAATTAAATATTAGATTTGATGAAAGCAATTTTTGTTGTTTTCATTTAATGAAACCTCGACATAAATCCATAATCATTTTATTCTTTGAATAATTAACATCACATTCTAGTACCATCATCAGCTTCATATTATATGTATATCCCGCCATTCACATTGTGGACAACAAGAACTCGTGCCAAAAAGAACAATTATAAAATAACAATTTCATATAATCACGCCTCCATAACAAAGTTTAACACTTGGTTAAGTTGTACGCTAAACTGAATTATTGGGTCCAATCATTAATACAAACAGTAATCAATCATGTGGACCTTTCTCGAAAAATTAGGCAATGAGGGTGGAAACATATAACGAACCCACCAACAAAGAAATCTGTTCAGGCTCAATCAGAGAGTTGCTGGGGAATCATCAACTTGAAGAAGGAAATAAAGGACATTCAAGAGAAGAATAGTTGAAGAAGAAGAGACGAAGAGAACTGAAGAAGAGAAAGAATAGTTGAAGAAGAAGAGAGGCAGAGGGCCAAAAAAAGAGGTGAAGAGAACCGAAGAAGAAAAAGTGATTTCTTTTCATCTAGTTTTGACAAAACCTCACTTAAAACCGTGTCGTTTTTGCTTCATTAAATAACACAATTTTATTTTAAAAAATACAGCTAAATTATATGAAAATTATACATGAATTATACGATTAAGATATATAATTTGCAGATAATTCGACTGTGCTTATAAAATATAAAAATTCATGTTTTATACACGAAATAAACCACCAATTTACTAACTAGGATTATAATATAGTGACTTGACAAGTTCTCTTTAACCCCCAAATTAATAAAATTATAAATAACCATCTACATTTTAAATTTCATTCACCAACACCATCTTCTTTCACCCATCTCAATTTCACTTCATAGTACACCAACTTGTGCATGTATATTTAGTTATTAACTTACTTAAATACACTAAACATAGAGTGGGAAAAGTAATTCTGTCTTTTTTTTTTTTTTTTTTTATAATCGTATTTATCACATCTACATATGTAACTAAAAATCAACAAATTAATAGTTTCTGAAAAATTGGTGAAGTGATTTGCTCTATTTGGAGGTTTTTATCAATCCAATTTATGAGAAGGAATAGATTGATGTTTAAGGATTTGTTTTCTTATAAGTTTAATTAGAAAACTTAAAACAGTCCCGAAACATGCTGAAACGGTGGATTTTGGCCCCGGAAATAGCCCGACTAGGTTCCCCAATTGTTATGACGTAGAGCTCAGAACAAGCTTTTCGTGGATATCTTACGGGGTCCAAAACTCTTCCTGGATCAAAGGTTATGGTTGTTTTAAGTTGGCTTATCCATTTAAAGCCTCTAAGCCGTGCGTTTGGGCTCCTGACGTTAGCTCCCTTCAAGAATTCATCTACTGGACATTTCATGTTAGTTATCAGATCACGCTCAGCTTCGGATCGCTCCAAACTCTCAGATCGCAGTCCTAACTCTCAACATCCGATCGCGCCAAGCATAGTTCGAGCTCTTTAGTTCAAGACTGCAACCTATAGTGCGACAGTCATTCAGATCTAAGACATGAGTTTTTCAAGTGTAATTACGCACTCCAAAAACTGGGGGTTTTGTTATACCTAAAAAATCAGGTTGATGTTAGCTCAACAAGCGCCTAAAAGACAAAGTGTACTAACTGTCAAGCTCATACTGCCTTAGAGATAGTTTATATCAATCCGATCTTATTTTAAGATAAGGATGAATGAGAGTTCTCTATGTGTCAAGGCAACTTGCAAAAACACTTATTACATTGACCTCAGAGGTATGTATAAATTGACACCTCTCTTCTTAAAAGAAGGGGCTAGGTAGATGAGAGTTAGACAAACATTTGAGTTTCATTATTCCTCTTTGTAAACAAAGTATTTCTTCATCTTTGTATGTCTTACGAGCAATATCATAGAAATAGTCAGAGAATAATAAAACCACAGTAGAAGTAGGATTTGCTTTAAGCATCCGAATCACTATAAAAATCTCTCTTGTCTATCTATTATTTATGTTTTTTGCAAACATATATAATCTTAGCACCATATTCAAATTTCATAAATCTATCACGTGTAATTTCTAAGACTCTTTTAGTACTTTGTACGTACGAGTCGTTGGTGTCAAAATCAAACATCAATAATATATATGTTATTATAGTTTGGACGGAATTTCAAGTGATTTGAATTTTTTTGGATTTTAAGAAAAAAAATATTAGAAGCATAGAAATACAATACAAAAATGAGGTTAAAGAAAGAAAAATTTTTGTGGGAGATTATCAATTTAGGGCCATTTGTTTAGAAAAGAGTTACAAGTTCTAAAAACTCCAAGAAAATGACCGACTACTAGTGCTTTACGGTTAAACTTTACCGTGTAAAGGGTATTTTAGTCAGTTAACAACTAAATATACAATCCCTAATTTTAATTTTACAAGAACCATTGAATAAAATGACATGTCATCCTATCATGTAAAGACAAAAAAAATAATGTGCCATTATATTTGGCATAAATTAGAGGAAAAATACTTATATTCATGTTTGAAGCATGAAGTATATAACCGTTCATCTTTTTGCGCTTCAAACTAGGGGCATAACCAGAAATGTTTTTTTGGGTAGGGCTAAATTAATTGTTTTTTAGCGACAATACGAGGATAAATTATTAACACAAGAAATAAAGTGTGTACAGCTTGTCAGAAGGGGACATAATGAACATTACCTTTTAAAATGCATTTTGTTATTAAAAAAAAAAAAAGAAAAAAGAAAAAAGAA